GCTGGAGGTACCTGTCCTCACTGCTGAAGACAACACGGGCCAGGCCAGCTTAGCCAAAGAGTCTGCTCTGCTGGCCTTTCTGATAAACTGTTCTCCATTCTTGCTAGGCCCATGTGACCAACAGACTAGTCTTTGTGACCAAAATCACCATTCAGAGACATCAAACAACCAGTGAGCAAGCAGCAGCTGACCAGTAATTTGTTCAATTGGTCGAACTGCATGTATGTTTAGATCTTGCCTCAGAAGGTAACATTTTGTGGTTCTGTGGATGACTTCAGGAAAATCACAACTTCACATGCAGAAGTTGAAGTTTTACAAAATATTTTAAATTATATTTTCTGATTGTAAAACTAATGAAAATTTTATTAAAATTGAAAATTACAGAAAGAATAAAGAAAATAAATCCTCATAACTCTAACCCTTTATAAAAGCCTCTATTAACATAATTGTTTTCCCTTGCAATTAGTGGTTCCTTCTAATCTTAGTTCTGTTCTTTTTCTTAACATTATGTGATAAGCACTCCCTGTATCGCTCAATATTTTTTAAAAATTATGATTACTAAAGACTGTATAAAATTCCACTGTAAAAATGAACCACCATTATGTAACTTTTCTCCTAGTCTCAGATGTTTAAACTATTTCCAAGTGTAAAGGATAGAAATGTCATGAGGACAAAGGAGACAATCAGTCCTATATACTCCCTAATCAAAGAACACAACGGTACCTATGAAGTACGCTTGTCCAAAAATTGAACCTAAATCTGATCAAGTCTCCACATTTAACTTCCAATTTATAAGAGCAAAGGACACATTAGTGACACTATGACAAAGGAACACATTAGTGACACTATGGCCTTAGAACCAGAAAATTCCAAATTCTGGGAAATGCTACAGAACAAATAAATCAGTTCCCCCCCCACCCCCAGCGGATAAATTGCTGGCGGGGCGGGGCGAAGGATGAGGGGAGAGGGGAGAGGTAATCTATGAATGAAAAGAGGGTTAAGAGGCATATCTACCGATTACTGTGTATGAATGATATCTAGGGCCATATTCAAACAAAGTCTAAAAAATACTTACAAGACACAGAAATTGAAACACTGATTTAGATATTTGATAATATTAAGGAACTAGTCATTTTTTCAGAAGGGATACTAGTATTTGTGGTTACATTTTAAAAACGAATCCTTATCTTTTAAAGACATATACTGAAAAGTTCCCATTTGAAAGGATATATTTGGGACTGGCTTCGAAATAACGGGAGGGGGCAGGGGATAGTGTGTGGGGTCATAGAGGGGTCAAGTGTGGACATACTGTTGAAGCTGTTGGTTGGTGGGTACATAAGGTTCATATTACTATCTCTCTACTTCGGTACATGTTTACATTTCAAAGTTAGAAAAAGGAACAAAGGACAAGGAAGCCAGCATCTCTGGTGGCCAAGTGCTGAGCTATGGAGTAGAGAGCCCTGTACTCAAATAAGACAGAACTCATTTCAGTCCCCGTTTTCACACTTATTGGCTCTGTGTCCTTGGGCGGCTTCCCTAACCTCTCTGAGCCTCAGAGCCCTTACTTATCACACTGATGTTAGAAAGCCTGCATCTCAGGGTTGTCGTGAGGAGGAAACATGATCTCATCTGGGAAAGTGCTCAGAAAACTAAGGAGCATTGCACTTTGTATCTTAAGGGAAGAGGGGCGCCTGTGGTAAGGGGCAAAGAGAATGCGCACCTCTCAGGGTGTCTGAGGCGGGTCAAGGTTCCCTAGTGTTTCTCTGACAGCTGGAGAGTGACGCTGGCATAGAAAAATACTCACGAATACCTTTTCAATTTCCTTGTCATTTATTTAATAATATATAAATACGTATGTGTATGTATGTATGTATGTATATGTGTGTGTGGGTGTGAAGGGGACAAATAATACTTTATAAGTGTGTTACATATACATACACACACACACACACACACACACACACATAGTTTAATGGTTGCCCTGGAGATTACCATTAGCATCTTAACTTATAACAAGTGGTTCAGAGTAACACCAATTTAATGTTGATGGTATACAAACTCTTCCCTGGGCTCCTAACAGGGACAGCCCACTCAGCTCCAGGTGCCCGCTGGCAGCAGCCTGTCAGAACCAGGGACGGGGCCACAGCAGCCATAGCCCTTGCAGGGCCTCAGGAGTGAGCCTCTCTGCGGTTCGGTCACTGCCGTGGGGCTTTCCAGGCTGGCATGGCCCGTCTTGCTCTCTCAGCAGTCCCAGCATCCAGGACAGCAGAGCCTGGTTGTTCTCCCTTCCCAGAAACAGGGGCGGAAAACCAGGGGGCAAGAACGTGTCTCTGGCAGAGGGGGACTTCACCGGGGTGGGGCAATGCGGGCTCTTCCCCCAGCAGCTGGCCGGGGCCTGAGGATTGCCTGCCTGCTCACTGTCCACACTTTAATGACTTTAGCGCCCCGTTCAAGGGGTCGTCAGACACCCAGCCCACCCAGACCTCAGAGCCCCATCGACCCCTTCTTACCGCTGCCTGCAGTCTGCACGAGGTTAACCTCAGGCTTCTTCCTGGCCTCTGATTCACTTTCCTGTCTCTGGCCGGATAATGGTTTGGGGTTTGGCTGGGCCCTTCTATTTGCATATTCAAAGCCCGAGTTCCTGACCTGTCATGTTCAGGCACCCGCTGGACTCCAGGGCCGCCTTCGCCCCCAGTCTCCTCGTTGCCCTCACCACCTTCCAGTCAGAAATCCCTGAGCTACAAGGTATCTGAATCCCACCCTGGCAAGAAGTGCCCAGCTCTGCCACCCTCCGCTGAGAACAGCCAGGTCCTGGTAGCATCCTGGGTCCCCAGGGCTTGCCTTGAGTGGGCTGCGTTTGGCCTGGGCACCGTGGGACCCAGTGGCAGGGGCGGCATCAGAACACACTTGATTTGTGGGCGGTCCTTTGGAGTCCACAGGTGCTTCCCTTCATTTAAACCAGTTGTACCTGGCTTGTGCTCTTAAACCAGTGCTACAGATGAGAAACCAGAGGTTCAGAGAGGTTAAATACTTGCTCATGTTCACATGGCTGAACAGTAAGAGATCCAAGCCAGCTACCTAAGTCCTCTTGCTCTGACTCTAAAGTCACTATTGGTCCACAGATTGGACACTTCTCAAGCAGCTCCTCTGGTACAGAAAGCCCAGGAAAGTCTTGCCGAGATTCTCAGGCCATTTTTTCTGAGGCTTCTGGAAAGACAAGTGAGGGGCAGGTTTCTTTTGTTTTATTTTTTTGCCAATCCTTGCTTAAAGGCCTTGAAAAATACATTCCATCTCCAGCCCAGCGATCAGTCAGGGTTTTAACCTAGCCCCACCCCCATCAGAAGCCGGGGAGACCCTTCTGCTGAAAATTCTTCCTCCTCGTGGCCAGCGAATTATAGTTATTCGATATACATTCCATTGGCTAACACCAGTAAGACCCTGGAAAAGGCCACCCATTAAATCTTGACAGAATTCGCATTCCCATGCCCCTCTTCACGCATTCAGTACTGCATTAATCTTCGGACACACATTTATTGAGCCCTTACTGTGTGCCAGATACTCTCAGGCACTGGGATGCGAGGAGGGAGGCAGCACAGTTCCCGCTGCAGTTCACAGCCTGGTGGGACAGACAGACAAATAAGCAGGCTCTGTGGGAGCACAGGGGAGGAAGGAACTAAGCTTGAGTGGACCTCAGGGGCCTGGGTCGGGCTGGGAAGGCTTCTTAGAGGAGGTGACTTTTAAGTTGGGGCTTGAATGAAAAAATGTAAAAATGTCTTCAAAAATCTTTTCTGAAGGAAGAGTTAGCTTAAAGGATAAAGGCCTTTTGATAGAAAAGGAAGAGCTGGCTTAAGGGAAGTGAGGGTCGGGGGGGTAGTGGAGATTAAGGGCACAGAGAGGGGTGACTGAGTCACCTGGGGCCTTAGATCCTGGCCAAGTTGGCTTGGTGCTTGTCTTGCTGTCTAACATTGGTGTCCTCGGTGCAGAGACCCAACATTTGGGGCCGCACTGTCCAGTAGGATTTCCATGATGACTCAAATGTTCTATTTCTGTGCTATCCAACATGGTAACCATATGCGGCTAACGAACCATTGAAATGTGGCTAGTGACTGGGGAACTGAATGTTTACTTTTATTTCATTTTAATAATTTAAACATAAATAGCCACTACATCAGACAGTGCAGTTCTTCAGGCTTCTCACCCTAATGAATCATTTGAGATGTCTTTAAACATTTCTGATGCCTGGTGTCTGAGCCTCACCCCTGAGATTCCGATTTTGTTAACCTAGCGTGGGGCTTGGGTATTGGTGTTTTTTGAAAAAACCCAAGTGATTCTCAGGTGAGCTGGGGTGAAAGCAGTGATCCAAAACTTGGTCCACCACACTCTCAGGGGTGGAGAGGCCCGTTGTCATAGCTGTGTCCAGGGTGTGAGTTTGGGTTTCAGTCGCTCTGGCCCCCTCCAGCACCCCCTCTGCCCTGGGAAGGCTGCATCTTTGGTCTCCTCTCCATTCTGAGTAGGAAGATCTGGCCCTAAGCCCCTTCACGGCCTGCTGGCTCTCTCGTCCTGCCAGCCTCACCCACTTCCCAGCCCAGAGACAGTGCCCATTCACGTCAGAGGCCTGCCGGTACCTGGCCAGCTCCTTCTCACCTGGACAGCAGCGGGTCAGTGGTCAAGGACCCTGGTCCTTGGAGGCCCCTCAAGCCCTTGGACGGAGCCCAACCAGCCATTTTTCCAGGCTGGGCTAGGCTGGGCTGAAGCAGGGGCTGGTAGCCAGGCCTGAGATTTGGCTGGTTTGTGTCCCTTTCCTATTAAACAGATATGCAAATGAGGGTGCCTGGTGCAGCAGGAAGGCAGGATGCTTTGGTAACAAAGCGGGGACTTGCAGAGAGCCCTCCTTCCCCGCGTATCTTAGAAAAGCTTTTGAGCGAGAGCTCGCCCAGCAGCTGACGCCCGCCGACCCCTGTTTTTGTCAACCACACCGCGAAAGCAACTGTTCCCACGACTCACACATGGCAGCTTGTGCACTTCTTTTATTATTAAATATATAAGCAGCTTCCTATTTTTTAAATAGATATTTAAATGACTTCATATAAAATAATTCACCACTTCCAAGTATAAAAACAAAATCTCACAGTGTGTGAGCCAATGTTCCCTCTCGGCTTTCTCAGAGAAAAAGAAGGGGTTCTTGTGAATGTGGCCAGGGGAGCCACCCAGAGGTGGCTCTGGGCCCCTCCCACTCCTGTGTCAAGAAAGCAAATCCAACCCATTGCAGAAGCTCTTTGCTTTCCTGACTTTTAAAATACTATACGTTTAAGAGGTGGGCGTGGAGAAAAAAATGCTTTTTTTCTGCATGTTTTTTTCTTCCACTTTTAAATACATATTTTCTAGCATCAAATATAGAGTCTGTGACTAGAAAAAAGAGCCCCACGGGGGAGTCCACTGCTGTCCTTCCTTTTGTTGTCAGCAGTAGGCAGGGGAGGCAGGGCCAGCGGACCCTCACTTTCAAGGGCAGGAAGCAAAGGTCATGGGCCCCAGCCCAGCAGCTAGTGGAGGGCCCAGAGCGGTAGAAGAGGCACAGCAGCACAAAGGGGCCAGGGGCAATTGACAGCCCTGTCATCTGCTGCTCAGCTCTAGAGCCCCGGCCACGGGCTGGCCCAGGAAGCGGTGGTCCTCAAGGCAAACGTGGAAGCAGATGCCTAGGCCTTCCTGGTTCCTCACCTGCCCTGCTTGCCTGGTCAGAGAGATGGTGGTAGTGGGTGCGTGGGGGTGAGACCGTATCACTACCTACTGGGCTCCTAACAGGGACGACCCGCTCAGCCCCAGGTGCCTGCTGGCAGTGACCTTGCAGCTGCGGCTGGGACAGGGGTCCGCTGCAAGGAAAGAGACTAGGCTGCGGGGTAAGAAGTGCAGATGCCTCCACAACCTCGGGCATACCCATAATTTCAAAGACCCATTTTCAGTCAGCTCACCTGCCACCTCTCCCTATGTCTGTCTGTCTCTGCTTTCCCCTCCATTTCTCCCTCCCGCTAGTCACTTCCCTCTTGGCAATGTCAAAGTGCAAAATGCAGAAACCTGAGCCAACGATGCAGCCTAAAGACCAGCTCTGGCTGGCAGCTCAGGCAGTTCTCCCACCCTGATCCATCCCAGGAGTCAAAAGCTGGGTCAACAGAAGGTCAGGGCTCAGGGGCTCCCTCAGTCGACAGGCGAGGCCAGCTCGGGCACTCAGTGCAGGAAGCTGGGGACAGGCTGGAGGGGTGGTAGGACGGACGTATGTTCGCTCACGGGCATAGACGGGCAGGCTGTACAGCAGGCAGGTTCAGTATTCACAGTGCAATGGCTTCCTTCATGACGGAAGCCTCTGTGCGGCCTCCCAGAGAAGCTCTAGCAGGGCCGGAGGGACGGCAGGGCCGAGGCCAGCCCTGGTCTTCCCATTGGCATTGCAAGCCAAGCCAGGCAGGTCCTGAGGGCAGGGCTGGCCTCTCCCACCGCCTGGCAGCCATCAGAGGGCACTTCGGGTGTAGACCAGCTCCGGGCTGTCGGTGCAGACCAGCAGGCCTTCTTCTCCTGTCTTTTGGGCTGCGCCTTTCCGGGAAATCCAGCCGACGCCGTCCCGCCCTGCAAGCCTCATACTTCTCTCAGGAGACAAGTCCCTGCTCGTTGTTGTCAGGATCCACTGGCACCAGGCGGGTCCTCTGGGCACAAGGGCTCTTCTGTTCACCCTGTTCTCCCACATCCATGGGCCTCTGGGTCCCTGGCCCAGGTGTTGGGTTAGGGGGGTGGTAGGAGAAGAAAACAGCCCCTCGCAGAGGGTCCTCGGCCGGGTTTGCCAGTATCCCTTAAGTGGACGGGGGCCTCCAGGGCCCACGATAAATATCAGCAGCGTGGGGGGCATCCTCCGGTCCTCTCTTAGTCCACAGTCTGAGCGTCAAGGGTGGAGGGACCCCAGCCTGGCTGCTCTGGTCTAGTCCTGGGAGGCAGGAGCTCTCATGGTGGCCAGGCCATATTCCCAGGAGAATGGCTGGGGGAGAGGGGGGTGGATGCCTCCATAATGTCTCCTGCCACGGAGAGACTGTCCTGTGCACCCAGCTGTAGGGGAGAGAAGGAAACCATGGTCAGCCAAGTGGGAGTGGAGGGAGGCGTAGCATTCCTGTGGGCTGTTGGGGGTGCTGTAGGCAAGACTTCCTCCTGTCCCTTCTCTCGTCTTCCCAGCCACCCCAGACACCACAAAGGACCAGGCGGCTTTCCCTGGCAAGAACCCAAAGCCGCTGGCCAGACTGTCCTTACTTCCTACCTCCTCCTGGGGAACCAGGGACCACAGAGAAAAGTAACCGGGCCTGCTGGAGGTCTGACCAGGGCCGGGGGTGGGGGGCGTTGCTTAAGCAGAGAGTTGGGACAGAGAGGGGAGGGGGCTACTTGAGTGTCCTTGGACCCCTCCTCAGACAAGACTGTCTTGCTGGCCTTGGTCCAAAGAGCCAAGGGTGCATCCTGCCAACTCTAGCAAAGAAGAGGAATTTCTCATTCCCCCCTCCACATCATCCATCAGAGAGGGTCATCACACACGATATTCAGGACAGCAGAGCAGAGATAACTAAAGAGGAAGAACTAGCAGCAGTTCCGGGACAAGGAAACTCCCTCCCTGCCACTTGACATGCTCACCCCTAAGCAATCTTCCTTCTGGATGAGCCTCCCTACATCATCCATGGGAGTCAGGGCCCTGCTCTCTCCCCACCCCACCCCCATCCTTGTCCACTTGCCCAGCATCCTCAGAACACTTTGTTCCCAGACCAGAAATCCCCTGGACTCCATCCAACAGTTTGACTTTGGACCTTGTGTGGCGCTCCTCTCCCTGGATGTCCATAGGCCATACTGGCAAAGCCCGTGATGGGTAAGGAGGAAAGATGGGACCATGGCTTCTGGCTCCCAGCCCATTCCCATGCTCCAGAGGGGAAAGGAGGAGGGAGCCACAAACTGGACTTGAGCCATACTGGGTACAATGGGGTCACAGGCCCTGGTGGGCCCAGGAGGCAAACACCAAGTAGGCAAGCTTTGGCCTGTTGCCCTAACTCCTGGTTTCCTGGCGCGGAAGGGCTGGTTGCTGGTGTGTTCTTTCTGAGGGTCCTTCACTCATCTCTCTCTCATCAGGGTGGCGGTCAGTCTGGGGGCTGGCCCTGAATCACCCTGAGACTCCTACTGCCTTATCTGGAGGCCGCCTTACAGCTGAACCTGTCGATCCAAGGGGGAGCCTGGGTGTGGCTCTGCCTGGGGCTCCCGCTGAGAGTGAAATCTTGGGGGGAAGAGAGTAGACACACCGGGAAAGAAGACTGGTGCGTAGAGGAGATGGCGCAAAGGGCCAAGACCGGGGGCACTCAGAGGGTGGAGCAGCACTGAGCTGCAGAGTCCCCAGGGACCTCTGTCCACCCTCTGCTTACCAGTCCCAGGGAGGGAAGCTGGGTCATCGTCACAGCCCTGCCTGTGTCCCCATCCGACCCGCTCACCGTACAGGCAAAGGAGACCCCAGCATTCCAGATATGTTACTTTGCTCTTGTCCAAGTACATCCCCTGGTTTTGAGCATTCGTCAGTTCCCCTGTCTCCTAGGAGTGGCCCAGACCTGTCACTCTACATGTGGGAAGGCCCTAAGGCACTTGCTGGTGTTTGGCACGGGGAATGGAGACTTGAATGGGTCACCTCCGCTAGTCTGCTGGCCAGTCAGTCGGCAAATTAGGCAAGTCTGCTTGTCAGTTAGCCAATGAGTTCACCAATCAACAACTAACCAGTTAGGTAGTTACCAACTAGTCAATTGGTCAGTCAGACTCACCTGTCCTGCTGGTCAACCAGTCAGTCAGAGTCAATTAATTAGCTGGTTAACTGGTCAGCCAGAGGCTGGTCAGTTAGAGACAACTGTCCACAGTCAGCTGGTCAGTCAGCCCTGAGGCCATTTGGTCAACATTTATTGAGTTCTTAGCAAGTGCAGAGAAGCCGTCTTTGTATTAGAACCCGGGATAGAAAAAGAAATGCAAAAAGAAGTGGAAGACAGGTCCCTGCCCTCAAGGGGCTTACAGCCTTCTTGGGGGTACACGACACACAAATTAAGAATTTTCAATGTTTAAAACAGCATCCAAATAAGCGCAAATTGATATAGCATTAACCAAATCCAAAAGAGCAGAAGGGTATAAACTGAAGGAGCAATCAGAGGGCAGCGGAGACCATCAGCAAGGAAGGTCTCCTGCCACTAATCGTGGGCAAAGAGCAATAAGGGGAGGAGGGAGAGGCCGCCTGGAACCAAGAAGCCGGGGCGAGGAGCAGCGAGGGTCCCATCTTTATCCACAGCGTGGGCCAGGACAACAAGAGGCACAGACACATGGGAGGGCTGGAGAGACGGAACTGGCATGGAGAACAATTTCAATAGGCTCGGGCGATGATGGGCAGAAACCAGCAGGGTGGTTTAACAAGGGTGAATATAAACTACCCTTTGGTTGAAACGATTAAGTTGTCCAGGCACAGGGTAGAGAAGGTCTATGACAGAGGTTTACGGAAAGCAGAACTAGGGGTTTTAATAGACCACGAGCTCAACATATGACAACAGTACGATGCAGTTGTTAAAAAAAAAAAAAAAAAAAAAAAAAAAAAAAAAAAAAAAAAAAAAAAAAAAAAAAAAAAAAAAAAAAAAAAAAAAAAAAAAAAAAAAAAAAAAAAATATA